TTGTTTGTTTGTTTGTTTGTTTGTTTGTTTGTTTGTTTGTTTGTTTGTTTGTTTGATTGATTGATTGATTGATTGATTGATTGATTGATTGATTGATTGATTGATTTGTACCACTGGACCATGGGACAAATGCATTGGAGCCTGGGCTCAAATCAGCAGAGAGCCTGGTGACATTAACAGATTTCCTATAGACAATGGCAACACCCCCTCCCTGCCCCTCTGAGCAACTACAATGGTGGAAGGAATTATCTTGGGGGGGATGCATAGCTAGGAAAGGGTAACACCACTCCCAAGCCCAACCAGACTTCAGTTATACAAACCAGGTCAGCCTTCTCATTTACCATAAGATAAAAAATCAGTTCAGATTTATTTGGGACTGGAGTGGTGATCAACAATAGCTTGAGCAGATCAGATCTTTAGCAGGAAACCATGAAATGCCCTCCCAAGTGTACATTGTTTTGATGGTGCGACTGGAGCATGGGCTATAGGGTTGGCAAGGGCTAAGACCCTACTGACGATTTCAGTTCGCCTAAGAGATCAGCGGCGCCCTGGCAGTCAACGTGTTCTCATCAAGGAAGTGCCGGTGAAAGAGGGGCGTTCACTAAGGAACACAGCCAGCCCCTCATTAATGACGGGCAGCGGGTCTCCAGGCCGTAACAGAATTTCCATTAGAGCCAGAAAGATTCTGGCCACTGCTTCCATTATGTACTGCGCGCCAAGTGCCCAAATATACTGTAGTGTACAGCACTGGTTCTTAACCTTGGGTTACTCAGGTGTTTTTGGACTGCAACTCCCAGAAGCCTTCACAACCAGCTGTGCTGGCTGGGGTTTCTGGGAAGTTGCAGTTCAAAAACACCTGAGTAACAAAGGTTAAGAACCACTGTACTGCCAGAAAACCCTACACAGGCTCGAACCGCAAGCGCATGGCAGCGACGCGTGAACGAAACCGCACCGTCACGTGACCATGAAAAACTCAGATTCCCAAAATGCCTTGAGACGAGCCTGCGCAGTAGCGCGCAGTGAGGCTATATAAGGACGCGAAAGGCAGCAGTAGCAATAGTATGAAGGACAAGTAGAGCAATGGAAGGGGGGCAAGGAGGGAGGGAGCCCCTTCCCCCCCCCGTCTTTTCCGCTCCTGGACCTTCATGCGACCAACGTGGGGTTTGCGCACCCTCCTTTTCTCCCTTGCGGAGGAAGAAACCGAGCAGATATCCTCGGATTAAAAAGGCTTGGGGGTGAATCCTCGGGATTCTCGTCCTGGTGGAAGGGCGGGTGGTGTAAAAAGGCCGGGCTCGCTTTGTCGAGAGCTCCAGCGGCAACCCCGCTGGCCGATCCGCCCAGGCGCTGGTGCTCTCCTGCCGCCTCTTTCGCTTGGACCTTTTTCCACGGGTGCACGTGATGACTTTCTGACTTTTTTCCCCATCAGAGCGGACGTGGTGATCTCTTTTTGCTGTTCAGCCAGAAATGGTCTGATGCACCAGGTGGTACAGGGCGAGGAGGGAACCCCTTAATGACGGGCAGCGGGTCTCCAGGCCGTAACAGAATTTCCATTAGAGCCAGAAAGATTCTGGCCACTGCTTCCATTATGTACTGCGCGCCAAGTGCCCAAATATACTGTAGTGTACAGCACTGGTTCTTAACCTTGGGTTACTCAGGTGTTTTTGGACTGCAACTCCCAGAAGCCTTCACAACCAGCTGTGCTGGCTGGGGTTTCTGGGAAGTTGCAGTTCAAAAACACCTGAGTAACAAAGGTTAAGAACCACTGTACTGCCAGAAAACCCTACACAGGCTCGAACCGCAAGCGCATGGCAGCGACGCGTGAACGAAACCGCACCGTCACGTGACCATGAAAAACTCAGATTCCCAAAATGCCTTGAGACGAGCCTGCGCAGTAGCGCGCAGTGGGGCTATATAAGGACGCGAAAGGCAACCACGAGTCCTTTTCCCGTGCGTCCTCGGAAGGGGTGAGTACGGAGTGCATGGCAGGATGGTTAGCCGTCCGCGGTCTTCCCCCCCCCCCCCCCACGGGGTGGGAACAGCCAAAGTATTAGCTAAAGCGAGTAGCAATAGCATGAAGGACAAGTAGAGAGTAGGGGAGGGAGGGAGGGAGCCCCTTCCTCCCCGTCTTTTCCGCTCCTGGACGTTCATGCGACCAACGTGGGCTTGCGCACCCACTCTTTTTCTCCCCTACGGAGGAAGAAACCGAGCAGATATCCTCGATTAGGAAGGGTGGGGTGTGTGTGTGAATCCTCGTCCTGGTGGAAGGGCGGGCGGTGTAAAAAGGTCGGGCTCGCTTTGTCAAGAGCTCCAGCGGGGACCCCGCTGGCCGATCCGCCCAGGCGCTGGTGCTCTCCTGCCGCCTCTTTCGCTTGGACCTTTTTCCACGGGTGCACGTGATGACGTTCCTTCTTTTTTCCCCATCAGAGCGGACGTGGTGATCTCTTTTTGCTGTTCAGCCAGAAATGGTCTGATGCACCAGGTGGTACAGGGCGAGGAGGGAACCCCTTTGCCGGGGTTGGCCGTCTGGCCTCAGAGAAAGAGAGAGAGAGAGAGAGTAGATCTTGACTCATAATAACACGTGTCCTTTCTTCCCTCTCTATGCAGGTCGGTTCTGCCACGTGTGTACAATGAAGACCGGGGGCAAAACTACTCGGCCTGAAAGCGATGGGGTCACCTGAAATGCATAGAGGTGTTAAAAGCTTCAGGGAAATATTTTTAAAAAGTGAGTTTCTGACTTTCTGTTTATTTTTAATTGGAAAATCAATACTGTAGGACTTCCATATCTGCAGGGGATCGGTTCTAAGCCCTCCCCTCATGCCGGAAAATGCAGATTATAGTGAACGCTATACTTAGCATGGTCTCAGGCTAGTTCTGGTAACTTCATATTTAGAAATATATATTTCTAGAAATTTTCTTTTAATATTTTTTGATGTTTTCAGACTGGGAATGTGAATGAGCAGATACTGATCCCATACATAGATGGGTCCTATTGAATTTAAAAGATACAGTAGGTTGAACTTACAGTATTTTTGTAATCTGTTTAGTTATATATAATGTTTTAAGCAGTAATAGGTGGTGTATTAATAGAAATGAAGCCCACTGCTGGTTTTTCTTTTATGAGCAGTTCAGTTCCATAATCTTCCATAGATTTATGGGGTTTTTCCTCAGGGTCATCATTGTATTGGGCATATTATTGGAGAGAGAATTCTCTTTATGATTGCAAAAGGTGATGATTTGATGCACACACATTTGTGGCACTTACTTTCATTTGGGTGTGAGTAGCCATGTCACAGGTGGCTTTCAAGGACCAGATCAAGCACTATTTAAAAGGACTTTAGGACTTTTGAGTCTGTGGAAGTGGGTTATAATTTAAGGAACCTCGTCCTGAAATAAACCTGTTCAGTCTTTAAGGTGCCATGATTCTTTTGTTGTGCAAGGATAAGCAACATTCTGGGCAAGATTTGGTCTTTCTCTCTTGATTTATGTACACTTATGCCATACTATTGATCTGCTATAGAAGTTGTTGCGAAAGTGTTAAGTTCAAGTTCCATGTGAATTTTTTTAAAGTACTCATGCACATGTCAGACTGCACCTTTAAAATAACTATACATATAGTAATTATGGCAGCATTACCCAACTTGGTACCCTTTGGAGGTATGGGAATAGAGGTTCCGTCATCCACAGCTACCATAGCCATTCAGTTTTTTTAGGCAGGGATTCTGTTAAGCACCAGCAGAGTGTAACACTGTGCTAGCACATTAACCTGGCAAGTAGAGAGCTCTGCTACAAGTAAACTAGGTTATGCTTGTGCCAAGAGATCATGAATACCCCTTTCAAAAGTGCTGTAAAATTCAAGCTGCTTGTGTTGCATCCATTGTGTGAGTGGATAGCATTTGTAGTGCATACGTATTGTGCTTGATACTGTTCATACAGGATAAAGCTGTTTTGTCTTAATGTTTAAAGAAAAACTATTACAAAAGATACTAATCTAGATGACATAAGAATATATTGTATATTAAATATGTGGTTCTGTGACCCCGAGTAAGTGTTCATACAATTGCTGAAACTTCCTGTTTAAGTCTAAGCACCTGTGGGTGATTCAGTGCACCTTTGTAGTTACGTCTGCAGCTGCCTTGTGTGCGGTGGGTGCCATTTCTTCCCTAGTATGTCTATAAAGCTGATGTGAATGATGACTAAATCTTTTTTCCCCATCAGATCGACACTGTTGATTTTGCTATTTTAGCCAGTTCGTGTCTGATACATCAGCATACTGTATGTGTTTTTCCACCTCTGTGACTGTCCTGGGAACAAATTATAGAGCTTCTTGGTTTTCTTTTTCTCTTCAGGCTCATAGGGAAGAAACGGGACCATGAAGGACTGGTGAGAGCAAGATGATTGGGTTAGAAAAACTGGACCATTTCTTCAAAATGTTTCCAAGAAGCATGGATGTAAAGGATTCTTTTGGCTCATTCTGGTAATTTAGAATAGTCTCATTGTCCTACCCTCTTTTTTCTTTTGTACTAAGGACTATCATGTCAAAACTGACTAGCAACCCTAATAGGGATTTCAATACAAGTGAAAGTGTCACCTTACCCATATGAGTTGCCATGGCCAAGTAGGAATTTGAACCCAGGCATTCTGAGTCTAGTTTGTCACTATCCAGCACATTGTACTGAGGGGGGGGTGTCTTTTAATTAATGGGCAAGGGATAGCAAAAGGTCTAGTGGTAACTTAAAGCATAATTGGTTTTATTTGGAATATATTTCATGTTAGCAGTTATTTAATGTTAGCAACTGTGGTTATAAGATGACAGCCCCCTTTCAGTATTACCTGCCTATACGGATAATACATCTTACTTGTTAACATTTAAAATATATATATTTTGGCCACTAGAGGGCACTAATGTTTTGGGAGGAAAAAATCAATTTTGTAGGGGAAAATGTGAGTAGGGCTTGTTGAAGTAGGTGGAGTCCATCAATATCTAAGGGCAGGACTGTGGCTCCTGGATCTCTGAGGTTGCCTGTCCCTGATCTGGGGGTTCTTGTCGGATCTAGTACAAAAATAAAAAGTAACTTGTGCGATAAGTATGCAGGCTTTGATTATTCGCCATTGCCTCTTTCTCCCCCCCATGCTGCAATATGGGGATTTTGCTGTCCAGCTTTGGAGCAATTTGAGGATTAGATGATGTGTAGGGGGAGTACAGTGGACCCTTGACTTACAGACGGCTTGACTTGCAGACTTTTTGAGTTACAGACTTCTCTGGCCGCAAAATTTAGGTTTGACTTGCAGTTTGAGGATTAGATGATGTGTAGGGAGTACTGTGTGTTCAAATGCTTAAGCATAATTGATAATCTGTGTGGAGTTAGAATATTGAACTGTAAAAGCTGTACAGTGGACCCTTGACTTACAGACGGCTTGACTTGCAGACTTTTTGAGTTACAGACTTCTCTGGCCGCAAAATTTAGGTTTGACTTGCAGACTGAGATTTGACTTACAGACCAGAAAAAAACCAAAATGGAACAAAAATGGCCTGTTACGGGATTAATCGGTTTTCAATGCACTGTAGGTCAATGGAGACTTGACTTACAGACTTTTTGATTTGAGAACCGCCTTCCAATACGGATTAAGTTCTCAAGTCAAGACCCCACTGTACTGTGTGTTGAAATGCTTAAGCATAATTGATAATCTGGAGTTAGAATATTGAACTGTAAAAGCTGTTTGTGAGAATGGGTCAATAGTGTCTACTTTGAGATGACTGAAAAAACACAGGCACAAACCTTGTTTTCCAGTGCAGTGATAAACCTGTATTTCAGTTTTATCCCCACACTTTCCATGACTGGGTGCTTCCCACTAGAAACAGTTTAAAAGAGTGCTCAGGAGAGATTCCCAAAATGCCTTATTCCCAAAAGGCATAACCCCCCCTTTTTTTTTAATATGCAGAGGAAAGAATAATCAAGAAGTTTCTGTCATGTGAAGTTGATAATTGTATTCTGAAAGTTCGCACAAGATTTTCTTGGAAACTAGGCTGTAGTGAATTGGACCTGGTTTGGAGAAACGGATTTTCGTTCAGATCACCACACATCCATTATAGTTCAGATTGCCACACATGTTGTTCAGCCGACTTCAGAGTGTGATGGTTAATAATCATATGGTGTGGAAATTCAGTTTAAGTTCAGTGGGATTTATTTCCTGAAGTGTGTGTAGAGCAGCAAGCTCTGAAGTTAGTTTACACCAGGAGTGGGAATTCTCCAAATATTGCTGGACTCAATTTCCCAGTGTTCCCTCATCATTGGCCTTGAGGGCTAAGATTTTTGGGAACTGGAGTTCTCAAAGTGAGGAATTTGGAGCTCATTCCGTTTCTGGTACCTTGATATGACTTTCTGTACTGTATATGTTTTTCTTTATAGAGGGCTTGAAAGTAGATCACAAAAGCCTTTTGCCATTAGGAGTGGAAAAGCTGGCTGATCCTTGCACCATGCTTGCTTGCATGCACTATTAAGGTAAGATGAAATACTGTAATTCATTAGACTAGTGGGGTGGGATGTAGCAAAAGCACGTTATTTCAGTGGTACATGATGACTTTATCTTTTTTCCCCATCATATCGGCAGTGCTGATCAAAAATGCATTCTAGCCAGAAAGTCTGATTCCACTGATGGTTCCAATCTCCAAATTCTATCTTTCATCTCGAGGTTTTGGAATTATTATCACCAGAGTATTGTTCCTTCTCTAAGAGTGTAAATGTTATGGTGTGAGAAGTTGCATACAGCTTTCCTTGGACTTGAGAACCTTTTCAATTTTGGTGGTAGTTTTAAATAAAGCGCCTTACTGTTGTGATGGGAGCCTGTTCTGGCATTGCACATAACTGTTTTTATATTTGTTATGCAGCTTTTGTGATACCTAGATAACCTGGAGGAAATCATAGATCAGTGGTCCCCAACCCACTAGCTGTGCTGGGCTGGATTTTTGGCAGTTGTAGTCCAATAACATCTGGGCACCCAAGGTTGGGGGAAGCCACTCTTGATAGGTAGAGGTAACTCAATCTACCAGCAGTGTTTTTTCTTGTGAAAAGCAAAATCATTCTCGGTATGTATGTGCCGCAGTAAATAGAGGACTAAGTTTCATTGGTTTCTTTTAACAGGTTCGAGGATTCTGGGGTGCTGTTTGATGGTTGGTCTGAAATACAAGGTGTCCAAAAGAACAACTACATTATTTTGTTTAAAAAACCCGCAATGCCTAATAAGTTCTCTATTTGCATCCTAATAAAAAGCAGATGTAGCAACACGACCTGAATTTTTTTCCATCAGTTTGCAAAACGAACTACTATTCAGCTTTGTTTATGGGGCTGGTTTCTTCAGAGGTTACCATATTGTAGGCACAGGATAGCTGAAGAGGGGCTCTAGCTTGATGTGAAAGTGTTTTTTAGCCTACATAATTCAGGGTGCTCACATTTCCAGTGAAAAGGATATTGAGCAGCAGTATTGCAAAGACCTGCCAGCTACATGTCTGATGTCTTTGTGAACTCTTCTGTAAAGTAAATTTCATGAATATTTACTTAGGAAATTTGTATCTTCCCTTTCCTCCAAGAAGCTCAAAAAATGCCCAGAATCCTATTTATCAAGAGAACAGGGTTCAAATCCCCACGTGGCCATGCAAATACAGTGGTGCCTCACAAGACAAATTTAATTTGGTCCGTGGTTAATGTTGTCTTGCGAAAGATTTGTCTTGTGAAATGTGTTTTCCCATAGGAATGCATTGTTTATTAAGATGTGAAGTAACTAAACTGACTAGTGAAGAGTGATGGACCAGGGCTCTGGACAACAGGGTTCAAATCCCCACGTGGCCATGCAAATACAGTGGTGCCTCACAAGACAAATTTAATTTGGTCCGTGGTTAATGTTGTCTTGCGAAAGATTTGTCTTGCGAAACGTGTTTTCCCATAGAAATGCATTGAAATCTAATGAATGCCTTACTATGGGCAAAAAAGTCAGAACAAAGGCAAATTTGGTTTACAAAGGGTTTATTAAGTGCTCTTTAAAGCCATACATTTTGTTCAGATGATTAAAAAAATTTCAATCAAATTTTTTTAACTTTTTAAACATCATAGAAAAACATTTAAAAATCAGCGAACATGAGGCAGGAACCAAAAAACAGAAACCATTCTTCTTGCGAAGCACGGCCATAGGAACATTTGTCTTGCGAGTCATCAACCCCCATTGCCAAAACCATTTGTCTTGCGAGTTTTTTCTCCTGCGAGGTGCCACTGTAAATGGTGGTGGAGGAACTGGTAAAGCTAATCCTTAAATGTCTCATTTACCTTGAAAGCCCTATTAGGGTCACTGTAAAGTCAGTCCTGACTTGTCATCACAGAACACATGTAAGTACACAAGTAACATGAGAAGATGGAAATGTGCTGGCCACCCACCTTGACAACGAGGATTGCACCAGTGGTTGCGCAGTTCCTGTCTTGACCAATACTGCAACCAGTATATTGGTGGAAGTGCTTAGTCGATAGCGCTTCCACCTTGCTGTTCCTGTAGTTACCATGGGTGCATGTAAGTACACAAGTAACGAGAAGATGAAAATGTGCTGGGCTACCCACCTTGACAATGAGGATTGCACCAGTGGTTGCGCAGTTCCTGTCTTGACCGATACTGCAACCAGTATATTGGTGGAAGTCCTTAGTTGATAGCACTTCTACCTTGCTGTTCCTGTAGTTACCATGGGTGCAGTGCTGGGTTATATCTGTGTAGCTACTCAACAAGATTTCAAACAATACATGTGCCTTCCTGCATCCATTTTCAATTTTGACAGTAACACTTGAGATTGTTAGTTTGTTTATCACTGGTAGACAGGTGTGTATTATTACTTCTGGGGATAAACAAGCTGGGAGCTTAACTGCTACATATGCCTCAACTGAGATCCAATGAGGCACTTGCTCCTTTTCTCAATACTCGCTACAGCTAATGCAATCAAAGTGAATCATAGAGGGCACTTGCTCCTTTTCTCACAACTCACAATGAGGCACTTGCTCCTTTTCTCACAACTCTCTACAGCTAATGCAATCAAAGTGAATCATAAGAGGAGCAGTTCTTTATTAAATTTGTGAATTTAAGTGGTTTATGTCCCTCTAGCCAAATGGCACTTTAGTTGTGTCTGACTTCGTGACCCCATGGACGTTAAATTTGTGAATTTAAGTGGTTTACGTCCCTCTAGCCAAATGGCGCTTTGACTCGTCGTTTAGTCGTGTCCGACTCGTCGTAATCCCATGGACCAGAGCACGCCAGGCCCTCCTGCCTTCCACTGCCTCCCGGAGTTGGGTCAAATTCATTCTGGTAGCTTCGATGACATTGTCCAACCATCTCATCCTCTGTCATCCCCTTCTCCTCTTGCCTTCACACTTTGCTAACATCAAGGTCTTTTCGAAGGCAAAGTGGAACATTCTGTATGCATCATTGCATCTTTGTGGAGAATCTTACTTTCTTGACCCCCTCAATTTTTCAAGAGACTTGCAAGCTCCAAATATTCCTCCTGGCATCCAGAGTGGTACAATATGTCCCAGTTCCCTCAGATCATTGGCTACCCTTATGCTTTCCAGTCCCAGTGCACATTTTGTACTGGAATTTTCTCTCAATAAATAATCTGTAATAATGAAACTGCAGAGCTGGAAGTCCAGCTCCTGTTAGAGAGGCACAGTGGGGATTCAAACTCCCAACCAGATGCCTAAGCCACTGGGCTATCCAGCAGTTCTAAACTTAAGTCTTTAGAGTGCTTTTGCAAGTCTGCAGTTAAATCCTATTGGGATTTTTTTAAGAGTGGGTAGGAGGGGTCTCCACCTTGCACCTTTTTCAGTTATGCTGATGGTGGGGATCCCTTCTAAGCTAGCTCACTGCAAAAGCCTGTCCTCCAATATATATGTTCTTAAATTGACTGAAGTATTTAATTTTATTGACTAGTAACTATCCAGGGAGCCAAGAAGGGCGAAGACTGACATTCACATATCCATTAAGCAAATGTTTCAGCTACTTTCAGCTGTCCATTTGAGGGGTTGCACGTCTCAGCTGTGGCACCAGCCCTTTGGAATGGGCGTCTTGTTGAGCGGTGCCTGTCTCCTTTTCTCAGCCTTTAAGAGCTTGCTTAAGATAAATGTTCTTTACAGAGGTGTCCAATGGCATCCTCACATGATTAGGCAATTTGTGCTGCCTGTCCAATTTTGTTTTGATGCTCTTGGTTTGTTCGCCATATGTTTTCACTTGATTTTATTTTATTCCTGTACCTTTTATTGTTTATTTTTATTCTTATGTTGCCATTAGTTTTAATTGGACTGTTAACTGCTCAGATTGGGCAGTATGAGAGAAAGAGAGTCATGCACAACTGGGAGCATAAACTCAACCCAAATCTGACATTTTGCAGTAGACAACATGGAAGAAGGATGTTAATTGGAGCTGTTGTCTGTTCACAACCTGGATTTAATTAAAAATATTGCTAAGATGACTTGGTTCTTCACACTTCATTGAAGTTTGGTTTCAGGCTCCCTTCCCTACTATATTGGGGCTGTAACTCCCATAATCGCTGCACAAGTTGGTGGCAGTGAAAGAAATGGCAATCCACTCAAAAATAATCTTTGAAGTGAAGTTTTGTTATTGCAAAGAAAGCATGACTGTTCCTTGCAATGGTTATTATTTAGGATACTTGCCCTTTTCAGAGATACTGCTGCCATTTTTAAGTGAAGGAACTCTATGGAGGAGGACGGGGGTAGACTGGCATTTTTAATCTGGTGTCAAAAATGTGAAAAATTAGCTCACTAAAGCTCTCTCCAATTAACTAGAGTAATGATTTCCCCCCTTCATTAGCATCTGCAATCTGAATGACACTTTTAATAAGGGTTTTAAAGTGTACCAATTTAACAAGATATTTACCAGCATCTCTCTTCTGTTAAGGAGCAGAATTAACCACCTTGTTTTTTTTTTTTAATTAGCTGATGAGGAAGAGGTCCAGTATATTTCAGAAGGGAGGGGATGGAGTTTTGGATGGGCAGCTTCTTAGTAGCATTTTAGGAATGAGAGAAATAGAAAACTATAGCTTATTAAAGATGTTACAAGTTCTGACATGAACGCAATTAATGTGCAGTTTTAGTAATGGAAATACCAACCGTAGGAATAATACAGTATGTTGGTAAATCATCTTCAAAATATGCAGCTGGTATTTCAAGGAATGCATTCTTTGAAATGTAAATAAAATTTGGGGGAGGTGGTTTTGTTTTGTGCAAGGTGTGGTATAAAGAATACAAAATCCCCCAGAAAAATCAGATTTTTTAAAAGGAGGATTTGGGGCAGAAACAGGATGTGGGCAGCAGTAGCATCCCCCCCCCCCGGNNNTCTTCTATTTCTTGGGCAGAATGAAAATAGAAAGTAAAGAGAAGGAAAAAACTCAATAGACACATGGCTCTCTTGGAATTCAAAGGCTGGAAGGAATGACTGGTCAGTGCTAGATAAATAAGACACCTCAGCTCAGAAAAGTGCCTCCCAGTCAAACAAATTACAGGCAGTATGTGAAGTTGCAAATAAAGCTAAAGGAGTGTACAGCCTTGAATTTGCAAGAATTCAGTTACAGTACCTTCTGGAGATGACAGGCCAGAGACAAGTACAGTGCACATAATAACAATCAATGAATCTGAGAGTCTATCAACTATAGTGGATGTTCCTAAAAGCCAAGGGCACCAGAAGACTGGACGTTTGAGGTCACTGAAGAGCACCTGGGGAAGCATACAAAAGATGAGTTAGGAACTGATTTATCTAGAGGTAAGGAGACTTCAGGATTGATTGGACCTTCCTGTCATGACTTTAGGTTGCTCAGGTTTTAGGTTATGCAGAGAACGTTGTACTCAGGGTTCCATTTGTTTGTTTGTTTTTGGTATGCTGTGATGATGTGAGCATGTGATCAGAGTCGAGGACACATAAGTCATAAGTGTTAATTATAACAGATAATCAGAATGAGCATCAGGATGCTTATTTATTTATTTAATATATATGCTGCCCAATACTGTAATACTGTACACACTCTCCAGGTAGTTAAAAACCAACATGTATAGACTACAAAGAATACAATATAAATCGTCAACATAAGCAAATAACAATTGAGAAAAACCACATGACTTGCCAAATCTGACATAAGCCGCCTAGAGTGGTCTATTAGGCCAGATAGGCGGGGTATAAATCAAATAAATAAACATAAGTGAACAAATTTAAACTACAGCTGGATATCAAATGACACACATTGATAAAAGGCTGTTTTAAGCAATTCCATTTGAAGAAGCTTCTTGCCTGACTCCAAGGGTCTTCTTTGCACTGCCATCTGAAATAAAAATGAATACCTTACTTTAACTTGCAGTCTTTAACTGCAAGTCTGCCATCTGAAATAAAAATGAATACCTTAGGCAATGTGTTATGATGATGCAACAGAGAGAGAGAGAGAGAGAGAGAGACATGGCACTTTTATTGGAGCACAACAATATTTCTGAGAGCTGGTGTGGTCCAATATGTAGAACAATGGACTAGAACTCAGGAGATCTGAGTTCAAGTCCCCATTCTGCCATGAAAATTCCCAGGTGGCTGGCACTGGAGAAAGAGAGTGACATGGGACCTTTATTGGAGCACAACAATATTTCTGAGAATTGGTGGGGTCCAATATGTAGAATAATGGACTAGAACTCAAGAGATCTGAGTTCAAGTCCCCGTTCTGCCCTGAAAATTCCCAGGTGGCTGGCACTGGAGAAACCACTCTTTAAATAGCTCACATACAGTGAAAATGCACTCGGTGTTGCTCTAAGTCAGATGTGACTTAGTGGCATATAAAAAAAAATACCATGAAAACATCATGTGACACCTCCAGGGCACTGAACCATAGGAAGCTACAAGATATGTAGTGTAACTAAAATTCAAAGGGAAAGTCTGGAAACATGAAACTTGACCTGTGGTTGTACCAAATTTCACATCAGAGGACATTGTCTCAGTAGAAAAAAAAACAGACCACCATGGCTGAGTTTTCTCACTCTTGCTTCTTGGAAATATTTCTCCTCCAACATCATTTGCTCATGGCGATGCCAGATTTCAAAGCTGTGCAGAGGTATAGCATTAATTACTAGGAATGAGAGGATATAGTTTAGGTTTAATTGTGAGACTGCAGAGGGTGCTGTGAGCATGTGTTTTGCTGAGGACTTCTTTTGGTTTGACTATTACCCAATCTGTCCATGAATTATGGAGAGCATTTAAATCTGCCAAGTCATAACTTCTTTCCAGTCCGTATCAGCACTTCAGTTTGTCTCTAAACCAAGAGATTTAATAGGTGAATTATCTGGTTCGTAGACCACAGAAGCATTTTAAAACCTGCTTTAGATTTTATTAGTAATGGGGCATGTAGCCTAAGAAAGAACGTTCATGTAGATCTACATTTTATAACACCTTTTGATTCTGAGTGCTACAATGATTTTCAATATCATTGCTGTAAGCACTGCAGAGAACTTATTTTTTCTTTTTTTCATGTAATGTTCACCATACACAAATTCCTCTGAAATAAATAAAATGCCTAAAGCTGCAATCCTAAGCATATAGGTTTGGACTATACTTCTACTGTACTGTAACTCTAAACGAAAGTGTTTAGGGTTAGGCTATTAGTATCAGTGAAGTCATCAAGACACATTTATTTAAAATATTTTAACCTTGATATCCAGAAAGATTTATAGTGTCTTACACAAACCCCATGTCCGGAGTCTGGGAGTTCATCTGTCACCAGTATGCAGAAGACATCCAACTCTATCTGTCCTTGCCATCTAAATCTGAGGAAGCTGGCTCGGCTCTAGATCAGTGTCTTAATGTCAGTACTGAACGGATGAAGGTGAATAAACTGAAATTTAATCCAGACAAGAGAGAGGTGCTCCTGCATTCTTTGGAAACTGGGCTTGGATTGCACAGGTGGCTGGATAGCTCTGTGAGTTAAGCCTCGGGCTGCAGGACTGGAGCTTTTCCACTGTGCTTCCTGGGAAAGGAGCCAGCTTGTGTAGCCTTGGCAAGTTCTACAGTCCCACAGAGCCTCGAGAAAAAGGCTATAGTAAACCACTTCTGAGTATTGCAGAAGACAAAACCCTGGAAATGGTTGTGCTATAAGTCAGAATTGACTTTACAGCCCACAATTATCTTAGGAAAGAGATTGCTTTCAAACACCCAGTAAAAGCGCATAGATCAGAAGTGGTCAAAAACAAAACAACAGCAAGAAATGGAAGCAGCTGTTCCAGTACTGGTTGGGATTTTCCTTTGTTTTTGTGTGGCAGATGCTGAATCCTGCCAAATTTGCTCACTCCCAGTTTAGAACGACAGACATGAATTTGGGCAATTCAGACACTAATGCCCACTATGCCACAACAGCCCCTGGGTAAACTTGGACCAGTCACTCTCAGCCGGACCTACTTACAGGGTTGCTGTGTGGATAACATAATGGGGAGGATGGTCATGACTTTTCAGATCATGGGACGTAAAGTGAAATACAATATAACTGATCACCAAGGTACTGTGCTAAGCAACAGGCATTTTCCGTGACTTTTGAGATCATGGGACATAAAGTGAAATACAGTATAACTGATCACCAAATGAATGAATTTTTCTTTTTGAACCACTCGGGATATACATGCATTGATGTTCCTTCCTTCCTCAATACAAATGTCAAGAAAAACTGGATTTGTCCTTATCAACCCTATGCCCAGGTACCATATTTTTCTGTGTATAAGACTATTTTTTTCCTAAAATCATTATGCTAAAAATTATGGGGTGCCTTTTACACGGAAGTAAGCTGAGATAGCTGAGAAGAGAACAAAACAGCTCATACCTTGCCTCTGCAAACAGGCTTCCTTCAATCACGAGGCTTAGCTTCCTACAGTCAGGAGACTTAGCTTCCTCCAATCACGAGCCTTATGGAACCAACGTCAGCTGATGCTGAACAAACCAATTGGAACACACCTCGTTGGAGATGGAGCCTGTAGGCTCAGATTCAACAGAGACTCGTAATGTCTGAGTGTTCTGAGCCCAGAGGCTGAATACTCAAAGCCAAGTTTTCTTAATTTTTGACTTAGAAAAGTGTGTGGGGGTGTGGGTCTTATAAATGGAAAAAAATGCTAATAAAAATGTGCTTATACAAAGCTGATGGCAGCTATAGCCTAACCTCTACTGTAACAACCAGAGAATGGATGCAAAAGAGAATCTCACTTTTCCTTGGAGAGCAAGTTCAACTTGTTTCTGGAAAATGAGATGTGTGTATGAAGGGCAAAAAGGGTCTTTCATGTATAGTTTTTTTTTCCAATAATAGGGCACTCAAAACAACACACAATAATTGAGGATGGTAGAATCTATTGTTCTACTAGTAATGAATGTATATCGGGTAGTTGTGCAAGAACTTTTTCTGGAGTGGCACCTGCTTTTGTGATGGTTTTTCCCAGGGGTTAGTATAGTGTATCACAGCTAAAGCAGGCACATCTGAATAAATGGAACTTACGTAGGAGTTACTCAGTGTGGTGTAGTGGCTAGACAGACAGATTAGGACCTAGGAGGCCTGGATTCAAATCTCCACTTTGTTGTGGAAACTCACTGGTGATGTGTAACTGATAAAACCACTCCTTAAAGATCTGACCTAAGTCCTTTTAGGGTTGCTGTAAGTCAGTTCCAGTTTGACGGCACATAACAACAACATGGAAGAATCGACTCACTAAATCCCCCCTGATTCAGTGGGCCTACTCCAGTGCAAGGTACTGTGCTAAGCAACAGGCATTTTCGAAAAGGCTAATTGTGACTAATGATGCATGTTAGAATTTCATCAGATACATCCAGATGTTATGCAAAAATTGGTTTTATTAGTTTGAGAAAAGGTGGATTGCAAGAAGAAGCAGAGGCAGCAAGAATGTAAACTGACTGGAAAGGACCACCGAAAAAATGGAGATTTGTTTTGTTGTTGAGAACAGCGGTGTGGCCTCTTTGTAGCCCACATGTAATCTTCATGTCCTCTTCTTTGGACCTTGGCTATTACTGAAACCAAAAGCAAGCAGAAGAGGAAATTTCTTGTTTTGTTAAGTTAAAATAACTACCGGCTATTTAAGTCTTCTGACATAGTTGTGTTCACAAAGAGCATTGTTAAATGATGTGCGTGCACAAGTATGTAACAGAAAAAGCACATTACCAAAGTGTCCCCAATTGTAAAGATTTCCTGCATTTGTTCCACTTTTAAAAACAGCGATGCCTTCTGCTGTGATGGTTGCTGCTTTTTCCAAAAGGCCACCTGAACAAACCTTTTTGCATAATAGGTGGGGATAGAATCAAGAAGGGACTACACGTATTTTGTGTTGTGGGAAAGAAATTTCAAATAGTGTTCCAAACCAATAGAGGGCAGGGAAGGAGTGAGAATTTTGCAGCTGGACTCTTCCTAATGGAGCAGACACAAGGAACTATCCTCTCACTCCAAACCATTTGAAAATCCTTCAATTTTTTTACTAGTGAAGTGTCCAAAATTTCATAGGTAGCTGACTTGGAATGTACATTTCCATTGCTCATGATGCTTAGACACTTTGCAAACTAGCATAATTTCCCTGGAAAGTTCTTCTCTGTCTTGGAAACCAACATTTGATTCTAAGTCTGTAAGGGTCACTGAGCAGATCAGGTTCCACAAAAGCATGAACAAAACATGAAGAATACAACTTTCAGTCCTGAAAACTGATGAAACTAAGACTTTTCCTGTGTACAAACTGTCAAAGGTTGAATTTTGCTTCATCAGATTCAGGAAATGTTATCCTCACTTGTCAGGTACATATGCACATGCTGTTGATGGTGCTGGTGGGGTTGAATTTTAAGGCCTTCCATTATTAGGGTCAGCTATATGTCCCAGGCAGAGTGGGTAGTTATGGATGGCCACAACAATGGTGTGGATTGTTTATATGTGCCAGTTTATATGTATATGCATACATACAGATTTGGAACTAATCATTATGACTGATTTTAATGTTTGATTTTATACTTTAGTTTCTTTTTAATGGGGTTTTAAATTATCTTATTGCTTAATTTGTGTTCAGTGATGTTGTTAGCTGCTCCAAACTCTTGAAGTGCTTTGAGCAGTTAGTTCGGAAATTAAACTCTTATTTTCTTTAGTGGAAATCAGGTTAAAAATGTGGGAAGTAACTAAAGTACATAGAAACATGGTGCTTCTTGTTATATATAGGTAATAAGACTGTAAGCATGAACAGGCAGCATTGATGCCCTTCCTCTCCATTTTTGAAGGGTTCTTATATTTAAGTGGAAAGCAGATTAAAAATGTGGGAAGTAACCAAAGTACATAGAAACATGGTGCTTCTTGTTATATATAGGTAATAAGACTGTAAGCATGAACAGGCAGCATTGATGCCCTTCCTCTCCATTTTTGAAGGGTTCTTATATTTAAACCAGGCTTGGATTAGACATTTTATCTTTAAATCAAACCTGGACAGCAGACATCTTCAAAGAGAGGGCTGCCCCATGACTACCCTTCAGTTAGAGGATTAGACATTTTATCTTTAAATCAAACCAAACCTGGACACATCTTCAAAGAGAGGGCTGCCCCATGACTACCCTTCAGTTAGAGGACTGGCTTATATAAAGCAACCCATTGCTTGAAGGACATACTGGGATAAACAGTCAAATGGTCAGAGTTGGTATAAAAGATGGGACGTTATATGCTGATGCTTTATAACTTAATCTGATGCCAAAAACTGCACAATATATCATTATCATAGAACAGCAGAGCTGGAAGGGAGCCTACGGATCGGGCCCAGCCCCTGTGAAGGAGTCACAGTGAGAATTGAGCCATTGCTTGAAGGACATACTGGGATAAACAGTCAAATGGTCAGAGTTGGTATAAAAGATGGGACGTTATATGCTGATGCTTTATAACTTAATCTGATGCCAAAAACTGCACAATATATCATTATCATAGGACAGCAGAGCTGGAAGGGAGCCTACGGATTGGGCCCAGCCCCTGTTAAGGAGTCACAGTGAGAATTGAACTCCCAACCTGTAGCTCCACAACCAGATACCTAAACCACCGAGCTGTCCAGCAATTTTTAAAATATATTATATTATTGGCAAAACTAAGGATTTGTGAAGTGTTGCAATAGAGAACTTTTTTTGCCAAAAATCTGATGCTTTTCACAAAGGAGTTAATAAAATGCTTATATGTTGAAATAATATCTGTATTCGTCTAATCACAACCCCTATGGTATTATGCACACAGGATATGATTCCTGTTCTATCGGTGAGTAAATTCACTACATTCTGTTTGTTTGCATTGTGACTAAGAAAGTACGTACCAGACACTTTTCTGTGCTCTCTAACTTCTCCTCTGATTCTTTTTCAGTCTAATAAGTTAAGATAAGAACTGGCTATAAAGGATTTCCTTCTTCCATCGCCAGTTACATATAGGGGTAACAAGAAGGAATGTGAATCTTTCAGATGTACTGCAACTTCTGGGCTGTAATGCCAATTACTCTTGCTCATTTAGCATGTTATTAAAAAGTTCCCAGTTCTTTTAGAGTGCAATTATTTAAAGTCTGGTGACCCCATTTGTCACCAACACCGTTCCTTTGCTTGTTTTCTTTAAAGTTCTCACTGCCAGACAGCATTGAAAGAATATTAGAAGAGCTAGCAAAAGAAGCATATAGTTGTTTCAGTGCGGCTGTAGCCGCCGGCAACATTCTGATAACATAGCAGAAGCATCAGGGTGGTGCTGAGATGGGAGAATATCTATTAT